AATTAGGAGATGTTTACTTCTTTTCCAGGATCTATTTTAGTTTATGATCTATTTATAGATGTAATCCCTTTGTCATTTGATTTTGGATAGTAAATAGTTGAAAGATATTATAATAAAAGAAATTCCGTAATAAATGAATCAATTAAAAGAATATTATAAAATATACTAGTAATTTTGATAGATATTGACTGAAATCTTATTATATTTATAATTTAGATGAATATTGAAATGTATTAACTATTGTATTGAAATCTAAAAAATTATCTCATTAATTTATTTAAATATCATTATATATATATAATTTATATTATTATAAATTTATATAATCCTGCAAAAGCAGAAAGTCAAATTTTATTTGACTATATTAATTAAAACAGTTTTCATTAATGTTATGATATAAAAATAAACAGAATAAGTTTCTTCATTTAAATTGAATGAAATGTATGTAAGACATTTCATGCTTGACATTTTAAATAGTCTATAAATTTCAAACTATCAGATGATGCAACTCTTTCAAGTATCAAATTACTAATTAACATCCTTAAATATTAATGATAGTATTTAATTACAGTTATTATTTAATCCTCACTAGTAAAGGACAGGATCATACCATTTACGGAAAGGCTCAACCATTAACAAAAACAAAAATACTTTTTGTATAAATCACGTATATTATCACACCATTTTTGATGGAGTGTCCACAATAAGATTATCTGTGATAGTCTCAACTCTCTATCATTTATAGTTAGAGACTTTATTCGACCACGACAATTGACCTTTCTGAAAGTACATCTTCGCTATCTTTAAGGTGTTATCAAATGCCTAACTGCTTCAAAGCAAAGAATCATACCATTAATATAAAGAAACATTAACTATTCTAAATACAAATACTATCACACTTCACTTGTACCGATATAAAAATCCTGGATGTCCCCATACCTCTATCTCTTCTTACTACTTACTTGACCCCTAAAGAAAGAACATCTTGATACTTTTTATCAATGCCATAAATTCCTTATCACCCAATTACAACACTAGAATCACTTACATACCTATCTTTTTATCGATTATTTTTCTTTTAAACTAAAAAAAATTATGCTAATTCAAGTTAAATTTACTCCAAACATTTCTTGAAAAATATAGATATATATCATACATAAATTAACAGAGTTTATATAGTTAAGAATATCTAGAATTGTCTCATTCCTTTAAAAAGTGTATCTTAATGGAGCTATAAGTGGTGTTATTGTAATGAATGGTGTTAACAATGACGTTGTTAATAGGTGTAGCCTTGCTGGGTTAAGCATCATTCATTACAGGATGTATATACAATTATAAGAAATTAGAAAAATATTATTTTTTATTGAAATAGTTCTTTATAAAAAAAGTGAAAACAACTATTTTTTACAATATATTTGCTTTTCAAATTCACTAAATTTCCTTATGATTTATGAACACTATTTCTTACATTAACTTCATAAATCAATAATACGAATACAATTATAAGAATACTTAGGAACACCTCATTAGATTATAATCACTATATAATATTAAATATATAATAAAGAGATTGATTGATGGGAAACTTTAAGTAAACCTTATACTCAAACAACTTCAAATAAAAAATTCATCTTTACAAAATGCCATAAAATAAAGTAATTACTAATATTTTCATCTTTTTAATATTATGTGATTTATTCTATAATCTCTAAGATTCAAGCATTGTCAATATTGTTTCGATTTTCCAGCTATTAATGATTAATTAAAAACGACACCTAATCTTTAGAAATTTTGATCCTCTAATAAATAATTAACTTTTGAATTTGTAGTATAAAACTGAAAGTTAGAAGATAAGTTTTGTAATAATTTTTTTAATAAAAAGTAAATGAATTCATCTAATAAACAAAACGAAGATCTATCCGAGATTTTCGTGAAAGTTAAGGATATTGATGAACAAATATACTGCTTGATAATTGAAATACTAAGAAAAGAAAAGATTTCAGATTGCATAGGATTCCTTTCAAAACTTGATAATCAAAAATATTTAGATGAATAACTCAAGGTGCATCAGGATCTAGGAATAATTAACATTGAGAAGATGACTAAAATTATCTAATAAATACAAGATCACAACTTTAATAAATATAATTATTCAGAGGAAACCTTCACAGACTTAAAAAAAGACCTGATTGAAAAGGTATCTAAATAATAGAAGATAATCCAATTTTTTTTATTTTTAGTTCGTCTCACAGCCTTCGATTAAACCTTTATCTAGTGTGGGTCAAATTCATTACATTTATTAGTTGAGATGAAGATTGAACTTGGAAACTAAAATTTTGAAAATATTAAAGTTTGCAATACATCCATAGTGGGTGCTAATTTTGTTAGATGCAATTTAAGTGGATCGTAATTTGAAAACGTCGATATAAGTGGATTGAATTTGAACGGCGCGATACTATTTAACTGTAAATGGAAGAACATTAAAATACAAAAGTTAAGTATATTAAAAGGACATACTTTGGCAGTCCTATCAGTATGTTTTACTCCAGATAGTTCTACATTAGCATCCTGTAGTGGAGATAAGTCTATCCGTTTATGGGATGTTAAAACAGGATAATAAAAAGCCAAATTAGATGGTCATACTAGTGTTGTAGAATCAGTCTGTTTCTCACCAGATGGTACTACATTGGCATCTTGTAGTAAAGATAAGTCTATTCGTTTATGGGATGTTTAAACAAGAAAAAAAATAGCGAAATTGGTTGGTCATAATGATTCTCTCTATTCGATTTGTTTCTCTCCTGATGGTACTACATTAGCATCTGGTAGTGAAGATAAGTCTATCTGTTTATGGGATACGAAAACAGGAGAATAAATATCTAAATTAAATGGCCATTCAGATGGTGTCTCTTCAGTTTGTTTCTCTCCTGATGGTACTACATTAGCATCTGGTAGTCATGACAATTCTATCCGTTTGTGGGATGTTAAAATAGGGAAATAAAAATCTATATTAGATGGGCATACATATTGGGTCTAATCAGTATGTTTCTCTCCTGATAATATGTCATTAGCATCTGGTAGTGGTGATAAGTCTATCTGCTTATGGGATATAAAAACAGGAGAATAAATATATAAATTTTATGGCCATTCAGATTATGTCTCTTCAGTTTGTTTCTCACCAGATGGTACTACATTAGCATCTGGTAGTGAAGATAAGTCTATCTGTTTATGGGATACGAAAACAGGAAAAAAAATATCCAAATTGGATGATCATACTTCTTATGTCTCTTCAGTTTGTTTCTCTCCTGATGGTAATATATTAGCATCTGGAAATTATGATCAATATATATGTTTATGGGATGTTAAAATAGGAAAACAAAAATCTAAATTAGATGGGCATAATAATTTGGTCGAATCACTTTGTTTCTCTCCTGATGGTACTACATTAGTATCTGGTAGTGAAGATAAGTCTATTCGTTTATGGGATATGAAAACAGGAGAATAAAAATCTAAATTAAATGGTCATACTAATACAGTTTATTCAGTCTGTTTTTCTCCAGATAGTACTACATTAGCATCTTGTAGTAGAGATAATTCTATCCGTTTATGGGATGTTAAAACAGGAAAATAAAAATCTAAATTAAATGGTCATACTAATACAGTTTATTCAGTCTGTTTTTCTCCAGATAGTTCTACATTAGCATCCTGTAGTGAAGATAAGTCTATTCGTTTATGGGATATGAAAACAGGAGAATAAAAATCTAAATTATCTGGTCATACTAGTATTGTCTATTCAGTCTGTTTCTCACCTGATGGTACTACATTAGCATCTGGTAGCGATGATATGTCCATCAGAATATGGGATGTTAAAACAGGAAAATAAAAATCTAAATGGGATGGCCATTTTGCTTTTATCAATTCAATATGTTTCTCTCCTGATGGTACTGCGTTGGCATCTGGCAGCAGAGAAAAATCTATCCGTTTATGGGATGTTAAAATAGGAAAATTAAAATTCAAATTTAATGGTCATTCAGATTGCGTCCTATCAGTCTGTTTCTCACCTGATGGCACTTTGTTGGCATCTGGTAGTAAAGATAAGTCTATCCGTTTGTGGGATGTCAAAACAGGGAAATAAAAATATAAATTGGATGGTCATTTTTCCTCTGTCAATTCAGTATGTTTCTCTCCTGATGGTATTAAATTGGCATCTGGTAGTTGTGATAAGTCTATAAGTTTGTGGGATTTGAAAACAGGAAAATAAAAATATAAATTGGATGGTCATTTTTCTTCAGTCAATTCAGTATGTTTCTCTCCTAATGGTATTAAATTAGCATCCGGTGGTAATGATAACTCTATCCGTTTCTGGGATGTTAAAACAGGAATATAAAAATACACTATAGATGGTCATAGCAATAAAGTCCGATCAGTCTGTTACTCACCTGATGGCACTACATTAGTTTCTGGGGGTTATGACACCTCTATCCGGTTATGGGATATTTAAACAGGATTATAAAAATTCAAATTAGATGGGCATACTAATTGGGTCTAATCAGTCTGTTTCTCTCCTGATGGTACGTTATTAGCATCTGGTAGTTTGGATACGTCTATCCGTTTATGGGATGTTAAAACAGGATAATAAAAATTTAAATTAGATGGTCATACTAATGATGTCATTTCAGTCTGTTTCTCCCCTGATGGTACGAAATTAGCATCTGGTAGTGGCAGTAGAAATCCTGTAAATTTGAAAGATAATTCTATACGTATATGGGATGTTAAAACTGGAAAATAAAAACTCAAATTAGATGGGCATACTAGTTGGGTCTAATCAGTATGTTTCTCTCCTGATGGTATTGCATTAGCATCTGGTAGCAGTGATAACTCTATCCGTTTATGGGATGTTAAAACAGGATTATAACTATTCATATTAAAAGGGCATACCCATGAGGTCTTATCAGTATGTTTCTCTCCTGATAATATGTCATTAGCATCTGGTAGCAGGGATAAATCTATCCGTTTATGGGATGTTAAAACAGGATTATAAAAATTTAAATTAGATGGTCATACTAATGATGTCATTTCAGTCTGTTTCTCTCCTGATGGTACGAAATTAGCATCTGGTAGCAGTGATAAATCTATCCGTTTATGGGGTTTTAACACACGAAAAGAGATTTAATTTATAGAAAATTGTTATTAAGATATTTTTGAGTAATTTTAAAGCAATTCTTTTCTAGAAGGTTGTAAATATTTTTAATTTTATTTAGAATATATTAATTTTGCTATTCTCATTATTTCGAAATAAAAGTTATTTTAAGCATAAGGAGCTTTAATTTACAAAGGAGAATTTGTGAATCAATTAGGAATTGATTTAAAAGCATTATTTAAACAATTAGGAAGTTTAATTTTGGATAACTTTGCAGAGTTACAATATAATTGAATATTTGATTATTTTAAATAACATTACAAATATAAATACAAAATATAAAATAATTATTTGACTTTTTCTTAATTTATTACCAGGATTTAAGCCTGTTTTTTTTTTTTTAATTAATCAAAATTAAATTAAGCAATCAAATTTTGAATTAACTTATATTTATAAATTTTTTTTCGCTCAAAAATGTAAAGTTATACAAGAATATTGTGATCTCTGAAATTTTTCTATAAAATTACTATTTTTAAGAATGTAGGTCAGAATATCAGATGATCCACATTTAATATCTACACATTTGTTAAAATAATTATTAATAATCTCAATTTTTTATTTATCTGGTATATTCTATATA